GGGAACTGAAACCCATTGGTTTTTTGGCACTGGTTACAAATCAACCTAAAAAACGCTGAACACGCCTCCCCAACTGCCCCCGCCCGCCCGCTCCCCCTCCATCTTCAACATCTGCATCTAGAATCTGGTTGGTCTTACTTCTTTCTGAAGTCTAAATGCCTTACATTAACTGTGAACGCATCTTCTCGCGTCAGCATTGCACGTCATGCCCTGGGCTTTCTATACTTGGATTGCCTGATGCATCCCCCATCCCTACCCCCGTCTGTCTGTCTGTCTCTCCAAACCACCCCCCAGCCCCTCTCCCTTCCCCGTTCCTGCAGGCTAACTTCCTCTGAATTGGGGATTTCTGGTTGGGTTGGTTTGCGTCTTCTGCAGAGAAAAAGATGGGGTTTGCCCCATGCAGCGCCTCCAACAGGACAAGTCGGCGGGCTGGGTCTCCATACCTGCATTCCTTACATACACCCCTATACTCAGAGCCCTCAGCCCCTCTCTCCCGACTCCTACCCTGTTTAACTCCATGGAGCCCTGGTCCCAGGAATGCTCCACCAGGCCTTCATTCCAAGCCCACAAGCTCTTTGAGCTTGACCACAAGAGGTGTATATCTCCAAGTCTGATGGATGGAGGTCTGAGAGCTGGCCAGGCAGTGCACAGGCAAAGATGCTCAAGTGAGGGGGACTCAGAACAGCCAGACTCAGGTTTGGCTGCTCCCAGATGGACAAGCCAGCTGAGGCCTCCTCCCGGAGCCCTGATCTGCACATGCACGTGTTCTGCCTCCCCTCGACCCCCGCCAGACACACAGTCACTGCACACATGTGCTCTTTCCTCTTTCTTGCTCAGGTTCTGATTCTCATTCCCTCTTTCTGTCTCTCTCTCTCTTTCTCCTTTTTGCTCTTGCAATCTCCCTCTCTCCATCCTCCCCTCGGCCCAGCATACACACACACACACACACACACTCAAGCACACACTATCCCTCCTCTCTGTTCTATCCATCCACCCTGCACGCCTGAACCCCTACCCTAGATACACCATCTCCATCTCTCCCTTTCCTCATTTATGTAGCACCCTGCACACTTTGTTATATCCCACCTGCCTCTGCCCTTCCCTCACCCTCCCCTGAGCCCCTTTGAAGGACCCCCAGTGGCATCTCTGCACCAGATCCTTCCTCTGACAGCCATACACAGGCACTCACCCACCAAACATTTAATAAGCCCCAACTGAGGACCACAGATGGAGGGCTGGGCAGAAGCAGACACCATAACTCCCCGCCCAGTCCAACACCCCCCACCCCAGATGGAGGTGGCAAGCATTGGTCAAACAACCCCTGAAATCTACTTGAAAATTGCAACTGTGCTGCAAGCTGATAGATGAGCAGTGTTAACAAGGTGGAGAGGGGAGAAAAGGGCATTTGAGGCCCAGGACAGCATGTGCAAAGGCCCTGTGGCAGGTCAGAGCACACAGGGTCCAGGGTCTGCAAGTGAAAGGATGTGGCTGGAGCAAAGAGAGAAGAGGAAGGCTGACCCAGAAAAAGTGAAGAGGGCAAAAGGAGACAGGACCCTGGGGCCTTGTGGAAGCCTGGGAGGATTTGGGGCAGGAGAGGCGTGATCAGAGGCTGCAGAGCAGAACGTGGCTAGGCAGAGGGATGGGCTGGAAGTGAACACCAGGAATCCCAGAGAGATATGACAGCAGAGGAGGCAGAGAACAGTGGGAGGACTGGCCATCTGAGCAGGGGTCTCTCCAGGACTTGAAGATTGGTGGGGTCTGGGTTGAGCTGAGAGGTGCTTGGAGGGGTTGAGACTGGTGTGAACCAGGAGATGGAAGTTAGGGAATGCCGGGAGAGGGCCAGGGTAGGGAAAGAGGACTTTAGTGCCATTAAGGGCATCCTGGAAGAAGTCAGATAGACAGGTGGTTATGGGGTCTGGAGCTCAGAGGCAAGGTCTGGGCTGGAGGGGGCGTGCGGTCTGCAAATGTCAGTGTTTCTCAGGAGCCCTCGGGTGGGTGGTTCCCATGTCCTTCTGAGCACTCACACCCCTGAACACAGCAAGCCTTCCAGGGCCTGCGATCCTTCCCGGATGTGGACAAAAAGATGGACGCTAGGAAGAAGGAAATCAGAAGTTCTGTGAGCACTTGCAGGACTCTATGCAGAGCCAGGAGGAGACGGAGGGGTGGACAAGGGCAGACAAGAACCTTCCCCTGTCCTGTCACCTGAACCTCTTTCATCTCCACCCCCTACCTCCTCCGTGTGTCTCCTTTCTCCCTGGCTCCAAGCAGGGCAGCATGCTCTTTGCACGTGTCTCCCTGCAAAACCCCCTGCTTCTCCCACATGGCGGCAGGCTTCCACCCCTGCTCTGCCCCAAGCCCCCCAAGACTGCTTCCAGGGCCTGCTTGCCTTTGCATGAGTCCACATGTTATGGCCCGCCCCGTGAAGGGATGGCTTATACTCTGGGGGGTGGATGGGAGGGAACTGGGGACACCTGGGCCATCAGCCCTGTCCCCAGATGGAGCTGGGTGGCCAGGCAGGGCTGGGAGTCAGGTCAGCAGGGCACAGAGGGTGACTCTTGGCCATGCTGGGTTTGGGGGTTTATTCAAGGCGCTTGAGACATTCCCACTAGTGGTTGGGCCCAATGGTCAGGGTCGGAACCCCACACCCCTCCCCAATCCTAGAGGCCTAAGGGTCAACTGATGCATCCCAGCAAACATTCTAGACTTTGCCAGCAAACCCAGGGGCCTCTTGCCAGCCCCAGAAATTCCTTGAACTCCCATCCTTGCCTCAGCTCCCAGTCCAGAGCTGAGATCCTGTGCCTGGGAAGCCCTTGGGAACCACCAAATAGGATGCCCATATAATTCATGGTCCAAACTTTCAAGACCAAAAGGGGTGCTGAGACTGTTGGGGCAACCTGTATGATGACCCTTGAGTCGTTTGCAGGATAAGGGCTGGGCCACTGTTGCTGCGTGGCCTATATCTAGGGCTCCTCCAGGTCCCATAGAGCAGATCCGGTAAAGACCCTCCTGCCTCCAGCCCACTGATCAGTGGCGGTGTCCATGCCTCCCTGAAGCAGGGACTCAAATTCAGTGCCTCTGGGGGGCCAAGCAGATGCCATAAGCCAGGAAACCAATCCCACTTCTAGAATGTGGGAGCCTCGCACACTGGAGAACATGCCGTCTGCTTCAAGGCGGGCAGCCGCAGCTGAGCCCCAGCTACAAGCAGAAGCAGCCTCAAGGTTGCCAGAAAGCCAGATTTGGGGGCAAAAATCTGACTTTTAAACACTGGCAATTATTTTTGATTTTCTAAAAGAAAACTACTTAGACCCCAAAAACAGTTTTGTTGGCCAGATGTGGTGTATTTGTGACTTCTAGCCTCCTGTACCCCACCAGCACCCCCTGAGGTCCCAGCTGGCAAGCCCCTGGACGGTCACTTAAGATCTGCCATCTCTACAGCTGTCTCCCCACCCCGACCCCACCCTACCCCGACCTGGAGTTCTTCTGGCTTGGGCGGGAGGAGGTAGAGGCAGTGACTCGACAGGGGGCCTTTGAGCAGATGTAGGTCCACCCAGGGAGGTCCTGGGGGCAGGGACAGCCCCACCTCCCGGCCCCCAGCACCGGCCCCTCGGTGGGCCTGGGCTGACTGTGAGCTCACCCACCCACGGGCGCTGCGTACTTCCTGCTTCCCGCAGGCCTGGTCCCGTGCTACTCCACCCAGTCCCAGAAGCTGAGAAGCCATCCCTGAGAGGGGGGAAAGGGCCCCAAATGCATCTTCTCCGACTCAGCGGGCAGCGAGGACTCGCCCTGCAGCCGAACAGCCCCAGCTCCCTCCCGTCCTCCCCATTCCCGCTCGCCAAGGGGGTAAGAAAAGATGCTCTTCCGCTTCTCCGATTGGCTCGAGCCGCTGCTCCTCTTGGCCGTGGGGTGAGGTCAGGGCGGGCAGGAGCGGGTGGGCAGCTCGGCAGGGCAGGGCAGGGTGCCCGGTGAGTCCCACGACAGATGCATTTCTGGCCCGGAGCGTAACATGCCCTCCGAACCTGCACATGTCCACCAGGCCTGAGCGTGCTGGCTGCCCCCACCCCAGTGTTTGTGCATCGTACACGTGTGATGGATTCGGCAATTTGCCCGCTTGTGTCCTATCGTCTCAGTGCATTTGGTTGTTGGGAGAAACAAAAACCATCTCGATTTTTTTCCTGATTGGATGATTCGGATATTTTTTTCTTTTCCTTGTTCTTTTGTTATTTCTTCCCCACCCCACCCACCCCAATTTCTTTCTCTTCCTTCCTTTCTCTTTCCTTTCCCCTTTGTGGGTGGGGCTGGCAGGGAGGGTTTATGCTTTTGAGTTGATACCTTTTCCTCCCTTTCACCCTTTCTTCCCTCACCCCCACTTTGTTGTTTTTTTTTCTTTCGAGTTTTTTCCTCCGCACCATTGCATTAATAGTGCTTTCTCTCCTTTCCCTCCTTATTTGGGGTCTGGCTTGCTTTTTCCTGTTGGTTGGCTTCATGTAGGGGCCTCTGTGAGTGGTGACAGCTCTGAGCCCCTGGGGGTGGGTGGATGGTCACCCCTCTTTCTCCATCTCCCCAGAATAACTTCATCAACCTGAGTTTCCTCCGCCTCTTCCGAGCTGCCCGGCTGATCAAACTCCTCCGTCAGGGTTACACCATCCGAATTCTTCTCTGGACCTTTGTGCAGTCCTTCAAGGTGAGCCCCAGCCCCCTGCCCCTGCCTCTAGCCCAGGGCTGAGACGAAAATCAGGATCCCCCCCCCGCCCCACCTGCACTGGCTGAATCTAGAACTCAGATGAAAATGCCTCTATGATACACCTTGCTGAGGTGTTACATGCAGAGTTCTTGTCTAACTTCCTGCCCCTGGTGTGTCTTGAGAGCTCCAAGGGGAATCTCTCCGAGCCACCAAGGATGCCCACCACCCAATGGCACCACTCTGGCACAGCATGTGCCCCCCCCAACTCAGCTGGGTGGTGCACTGGGACAGGTGAGAGAAACGGTGTGGGTAAGGGGCCCCCAGCACTCTTCATTACCTTCCTTCCCGCCAGGCCCTGCCATATGTCTGTCTACTGATCGCCATGCTTTTCTTCATCTACGCCATCATTGGGATGCAGGTGAGTGCCAGCCCGCTAATGTTCCAGGCAGAGCCACCACCCTTAGGCAGGGGTGGGGCAGAGGAGCTCAGTTCAGAGAGGCAGCCCTCAAAGTTGAGGGGAGTTTTCGTGGAGCCACTGGGGGACATGGCCACCCCTAGTCATCAACATCCAATTCCCCAGGTGTTTGGCAACATTGGCATTGACGTGGAGGACGAGGACAGTGACGAAGATGACTTCCAAATCACTGAGCACAATAACTTCCGGACCTTTTTCCAGGCCCTCATGCTGCTTTTCCGGTAAGAAGGGGACGTGCTTTCATCCTTCTCTTCCGGTGGGGGGCGTGTCCTCTCCCTTCTCTTCCCGTGGGGGGCATGCCCTCCACCTTCTGTTCCAGTGATGTTTGGAGTGGGCGTGGGGGGTCCAGGGACCCTGGCAGATCAGGAGCTGAAGGCCCTGGCACGCAAACATGAAGGTATTTTCAGGCATTATCTCATTGAATTCTGCTGACCATCCTGTCAACGGATTCTTGGCGATCGCACCTGACAGATGAGAAAACAGGCTTATAGACTCTGAATAGACCCTGAGGCTTGATTCTTAATCCTGGCTACACTTAGGGTTTCCTTCATTCAGTCATCAGAGATTTATTGAGCACCTGTTGTGTGCCAGGCACTATAAATACTGGGAACAAAGCAGAAAGAGACAACATTCTCTGCCCTCTGATGTTTATATCCCCGTGGGGGAACAGACAACAACCAATAATCAAATTATAGAGGATACGAGGAGATAAAATTCAAGATTAAGAGAGACACGGAGGCACCAAAGAACAAATAAAGTACAATTCCATTTATATGAGGTACCTAAAATGGGCAAATTTATAGAGGAAAAAAAAGTGGCATCAATATTGCCAGGGACTGGGAGAGGGGAGGGGGAGTTACTGTTTAATGGGATACAAACTTTCAGTCTGGGATGATAAAAGGGTTCTGGAGGTAGAGAGTGGTGATGATTGCATGGCTTATTACCATTGAATTATACACTTAAAATGCTTAAAATTATAGATTTTATGTATATTTTGTCACACTGAATTTTTTTTAATCTAACAACCACCAAAAATAAAAATAAAAAGCATTGGAGGGCTGATAGGTCATGCCTCCCTTGAGTGGGGTCATTTTTGAGAGAAATAGGGGAGAGAGAGAGCCATGTGGATATCTGAGGAAGGGCAGTCCAGGTGAAGGGTACAGCAGTTCAAAGGCCCTGAGGCAGGAGCAAGGCTGACATGTCATAGGACAGCCGGGAGCCCAGTGTGCCGGGAGCAGAGTAACCTGGGGAGAAAGAAGTAAGAAATTACCATCACCTGGAGAGAGGAAAGCTTTTAAAACAGACCTATGTCTCCAGCCCTATGGCAGACCGGTGAGAGTGGGGCACTGGCATGGGCATTTTTAAAACGCCCTCCTCCTGGGTTTTCATGCACAGCCAAGGATAAGAATCCCTCTCTCTGAGCTCCCAGAGAGAAGAAGTGATTTACCCGGGACTCGAACCCCCACCAGCCCAGCTCCAGAGCTGAAGTGTTTAACCTCAAGGCTCTGCCTCCCTGCCGGGGGGGTGGGGAATGGGAGGCGGGCGCTGGTGTCCAGGGCTAGGTGCCCAGGTCTCTCATGTCCCTCTCTGTCCTCAGGAGTGCCACTGGGGAGGCTTGGCACAACATCATGCTTTCCTGCCTCAGCGGGAAACCGTGTGACAAGAACTCGGGCATCCTGACTCATGAATGCGGCAATGAATTTGCTTATTTTTACTTCGTTTCCTTCATCTTCCTCTGCTCGTTTCTGGTGAGTCCGTGGACCTGTGTGGGTGGGCTCCCTGGACCCGGCTCCTTCTCAGGACTGTGGATTTCTCTGGAGCCGGGGATTAGGTTGACCAGGGGTGCTCACGCTCGGCTCTATTGACATTGGGAGCTGGATCATTCTCTGGTCGTTGTGTGCATGGTAGGATGTTTGCAGCATCCCTGGCCTTGATCCACTAGATGCCAGTAGCACATGCCCCGCCACCCTCCCAGATGTGACAACCAAAAATGTCTCTGGACATTATCAGGTGTCTCCTGGTGGGGGGTGGGGGAGGGAGCAGAATCTCTAATACAGCTCTTGGTCATGTGTCTCAAAAGACATATATAAGAATGTTCATAGCAGCCTTATTTATACTAACCAAAACCTGAATACAATCCAAATGCCCATCAGCACGAAAATGGGCAAATTGTCAACTAGTCACACAAAACTGTACTATACAACAACGAATATGAATAAACTACAGCTACACAAACCCAGAAAACAAACACAAAAAGTTATCCTCCCACAGTTCTGAAGGCTAGAAGTATAATCGCAGTGTGGGCAGGGCCACGCTCCCTCCAGAGCCTCTAGGGGAGGAGCCTTCCTGGCCTCTTCTAGCTCCTGGTGGCCACAGACATCCCTTGGCTTGTGGCAGCACTGCTCCAGTCCCTGCCTCCATCATCACACAGCCTTCTCCTTGTGTCTGTCACAACGACAGTAGTCATATTGAATCTAGCCTGCCTGATCCAGTATAACCTCATCCTAAGCTGACATGCACAAAGACCCTTCTTCCAAATAAAGACACATCCACAGGCACTGGGGGCTAGGATTTGAACATGTCTTTTGGGGGCACACAGCTCAACCCACAGCACAGACCCACGTGGGAAGCAGAAGGGGTTGCCTCGCCTCCTCCTCTCCTCCCCAGTCTGGCCTCCTGACTGTGGAGCCCAGGATGTCAGCTGCCCAGGGAGCCGGGGAGATGTTGTTTTTAGACCTCAGCCCAGGCACCAGCATCTGTCGGCAAAAGCCAACGCGCCCACCTCCTTCAGGCCAGCAGCTTCACACTGAGTCTGGCAGCCTCAGTCTCATAGTGCACCCCTTCCCCAGGCCAGTGTCCACACCCATTGACCAGAGGGTCCATTACCCAGTTCCAGATTCCCAGAAGAGAGTCTAAATGGGCCACCCTAGCCCCTGGTCAGATGGCCACCCTTGCCTAAGCAGCTGTGGGTGTGTGTGAGGACAAGCTCTTATAACACAGCCCGTCTGAGGACAGTGCCCTAGGAGACATCTACAGCGCTTGACCATCAGCCCCCTGTAGTCAGGAATTTCCACTTTTAGTCACTGCTGCATCCCCAACCCCTAGGACAGTGACTGGCACACAGCAGGTGCTCAATCAATATGAAATGGTGAATTAAAAGAAGGTTAGGGACACCTAAAGGGGGAGGGTATGCCCCCTCAGTGGTAGAGTGCTTGCCTAGTATGCACAAGGTCCTGGGTTCAATCCCCAGTACCTCCATTAAATAAATAAATAAATACATAACCTAATTACCTCCCCCCAAAAAATAAAAATAAAAAATAAAAGTTAGGGATGCCTAGAATTACCTAGGTCATTTATTAAGCACCTACTATGTTTACCTCTAAACATTTGCTTACTGCCCACTATGTGCCAGGCCTTATGCTAGGCACTGGGGGTATAAGGATAGAACACGGTTCTCTCAGTTTGCAAGGGTGATGGGCAGACAAGTCAGCAGACAGTAGCAGTACAGTCTGATGTGTGCTTTGATAGGGGAGACTCCGACTGAGGAAAGGAAGATTTCAAAGAGTGGCCCTCAGGATGGTGAGCAGGAATAGGACCACGTGGTGATCAAATTGGTTGCAAGTGACAGAAACTCAACTGAAACTGATTTAAGCAGAATATATAGTTCACTAACTTATATAACTAAAAAGTCCAAATGAGGCTGGATCCAGGCAATAGCAAACCCCATCCTCTTTGCTCTTCTCTTCCACACTGGCTTTATTCTCAAACTTTCTCCTGGTAGAGCAAGATGGCTGCAAAACGCCCAGGGAAGGCTCTCATTGGCCACCTTGGGTCATGTGCCCCTCCCTAACCAATCATAAGCCTGGGTTATATGAGCACCACCTGTGGAGCCATGAGATCAGGGTCAGCAACACCCAACAACAGCATCTAATTTTAAAGGAAGGAGGTTCCCCAGATGCTGTTACCCAAAGAGACAAAAATGGTGTCCACTAAGGGAGCAACAGCTACAAAGGTCTGGAGGCAAGACTGGTGCAAGCTCCCCATGTGCTAACGGCTAGAAGAGCAGGTGAAAAGGTGCTAAAAGATGCAGACAAAGGCAGGAAAATTCATCCATCTATCCATCCATCCATCCACAAAATATCTGCTGAGTGCTTTCTTTGTGCTGGGAATGGAAACATGACAAAGTTCTGGCCCATGGAGTGTTCACTTTGGTTTTGTGGGGCCAGGTGTGGGAGGATTTGGGGTCATGGTGGTCCCCTTGGTGTTGGCCCCTGTTTCACATAGCATCTCCACCCTCTCTCTCCAACTCTCTGTCTCTATCCATCACTCTTGGTCTTTGTCTCTTTGTATCTTTCTCTGTCTCCATCTTTATCTCTGTCTCTGTCTCTCTCCCTCATCTCTGTTTCTCCATCTCTCTTGTCTCTGGGCTCCTTCTGTGAACATGTGTATTTCCTCTGTCTCCTCCTATCTCTTTCTTTGTCTCCCTTTTCCCATTTTATCTCTCGCCCTCCCTCCCTCGGGCCCCTGTGTGTACGTGTTTGGATGTGTCTCGCTCTCCGCACTCCTTCTGGGCCCCCGGGGTCCCCACAGATGCTGAACCTCTTTGTTGCCGTCATCATGGACAACTTTGAGTACCTCACCCGAGATTCCTCCATCCTGGGCCCCCACCACCTGGATGAGTACGTGCGTGTCTGGGCCGAGTACGACCCTGCAGCGTGGTAAGCAGTCACCCCGAATCCTCCAGCCACATTGCCTACGTTTCTCTGGCACCAGAGTACAGTCTAAGCTGGGGAGCTGGCTGGGATTTCAGGAGGATTGGTCAGAGGACAGAGATGAGAATCAGCAACCTCACCCATCCTGGCTAAAATGATTTGGGTACCACCACTGCCCAAACCCCAGGCTTTCTGGGAGATGAGGGAGGAAATCCACCATGAGTTCACCTCCTACGAGTCTCTCTTGCCCCCCACTGTCCTCCAGATGGGGAGGACAAGTTAGCCAGGCCCCAGGCAGGAAGCCAGAGGCCTCGCAGCCTCATTTCTCCTGGGAGTGTGGGGAGAAAGGCTGGCTTAGCTCCCTGGGCAGGCAGAATTGGCTGCAAGATCAGAGTGGCGAAACCCAGCTCTCACTGGGATCCCAGGATGCTGGAGCAGGTGGTCACACAAGACCAGGGAAGAGGACACTGTCTCAGTTGTCCTTGCATCTTCATGGTCACCAAGGGCATGAGCTCTCCCATCTCCGTAGGCACCAGAGTGCCCCCTCCTGGCTGACAGGTGATGGTTTCAGAGGATCATCTCCACCCTGCACGTGTGCGTGGAGTGCCCACTCAACCCTTGCGGGACGCTCAGAGGTGCCATCCCGATGCTCAGAGCCCCCCAACCAGAAACTGAGGATTCTAGTCCAGGCTGAGCTTGGGGCCCAAGAAAGCATGAAATGGGGACCCCCAGCAGCCTGTGTGCTGGAGGTGCAGCCTCACAAAGAAGGCAGGGTGGAGTGGATCCTTGTCATTCCTGCAGTCCCCGAACAAGTCCTCCATGAGACCAAGAGGCTGGGGTGAGCCGCGGGGCTGGGGTTTGACTTTCCACTGGATCCTAACTCTTCCTCTTTTGATTTTAGGTCACAGCAGTTGGATGCTGTTCCCCTGACCTCTATTCCACGAGCCCCCCAGCCCCAGTGTAGCCCACATAGATTGTGGAGAAGGGAGACACAGGGAGCCCTGGGGGAGGTTCCAAACCCCAGCCCAGAGCTCCTGGCCCACTCCAAATGAAACCCTCTGCCCCACTGCTCCCGGGATCTGCAAGTGTCTGGGAAGGTCTCAGGGACCCTCACTCATCCCATGGCTCCCCTATTCCTTCCAGCCAGGGGGTTCTCAGCCCCTGGCACTGTGATCTCACTTTGTGCACGGGGAGCCAGCGTGAACACAGCTCAACTCTGTGCCTCCACTAATCCCCTCTCTTCTCCTTTCAGCGGTCGGATTCATTATAAGGATATGTACAGTTTATTGCGTGTAATATCTCCCCCTCTCGGCTTAGGCAAGAAATGTCCTCATAGGGTTGCTTGCAAGGTTTGATTTCCACTAAAACCTGCTAGCATCCATGGAATGAGTGTGGCTTGGGGTTCTTCAATATATATATTTCATATATATATATAAAATCTAAAAAACAGAGCCATCTCTCTCTTTTGCATTAAACTAGAAAACTCTCTTAGCCCACAGAATGCAGTCACGTAGACTTGACGAAGCATGGAACATATATCTCTCCGTTCCCTTCAGCCATTTCTGCTTGCTCTGAGCTGAAGCTGCCCATCCCGGGGTCTCAACGGCACCCCGAATCAGACACATCCTGGGGGGATCGTAACTTTGCATTGCCCTCCCCCCACTACCATCTCCTCCACTCTCCCCTCCACCCTTCGCCTCCCAAAGCCCCCAGCCTTCCTCCCACCGCCCTGGCCCCTCCTCCCCATCTCGGGCCCCCTCAGAGACCAGCCTCAGCCAAACCAGAGAACGTTACCCACTTTTTTAAATGACACTGAATCAAAAGCATTGCTCCAGGCCCTCCAGAGTGAGAAACCCCACCCTTCCCTCCACATTTCACCAGAACCACGGCTCAGAGTCAAAAGCAAAGCTGACTTTTCTCTTTTCTCTCTCTCTCTCCCCCTGCTCGTAAGCAGTGAAATAATCTTTTTTTAATTACCTCTTCCATTTTTTCCCTCCTCTTTTCTATTTATTTGAAATACCTATTTTCTCGTTCTCTGCATCTTTCTCTTTTCGGCTCGTGTGATTTTTCTTTTTGTCTTCTTTTTTTTTTGGTTGGTTTTTTTTTTCTTTTTTTTTTTTTCTTTTTTTTTTTGCCTCTTCCGTTTCTTCCCCTCCCTCCACCCATTCCTCCTTTGGTTCTCCGTTCCCACTCCCGTTTTTTGTTTTCGGTGCTGCCAGGGGCCGCATGCCTTACCTGGACATGTATCAGATGCTGAGACACATGTCTCCGCCCCTGGGTCTGGGGAAGAAGTGTCCGGCCAGAGTGGCTTACAAGGTAGTCTAACCCTTGCCGACCACCGACGTCCGGGCACTGGGGATTTTTCAGTGCTGACCAGGAGCAACCAGCCGAGTCTCTTTTTCCAGCGTTACTCTTCTTTTTTTCTTTTTCTTTTTTCCTTTTCCCCTTTCCTCCTCGAGTACATGGATCATGACCATCCCTTGACTCTAAGCAGCACACTGTGTCCGTCCTTTCTGATGAGTGTGTCTTGGTGTTTTGAGACTCCATTATGGCCGACACGCCGGGGGGAGGAGGAGGGGAGCCCCCAGGTCCCCCTGCACCTGGTCCCCCAGGAACCAAATTGGACACAAACACACTTCGGGAAATCGGGGTCACTGCTGTGCCCAGAGTAGCCCCCAGGTCCACACCTGGGCTGGTGCCTTGCAGGGGTGGGTGCTTCGGCCCCATCTTTTGTATCTTGAGGCCCCAGGTCCCACCATCCCCCATGCACACCTGAAGCTGATCTCTGACCCAGGGCCTTGGGGGATCCAAGACCTCCCGGGGAGCACCCAGAGCCTCTCCCCTTCTCCCTCCCTCTGGAGTTGCTTCTCCAGTCTCCCTGTCCCTATGCCACCCATCTCCCCTCAAGACACCCCAACATGCCTCTCCATTGTTCCAGAGTGGGCAGGCGGGCCGCAGCTGGACCCCTGGACCGTGGCACCCTGATGCAGGCCATGCACGCTGCCTTGGCGGGGGCCTGGGGCGGGCAGGCACCATGGCCGACCGGGGGGGTAGTGCATGCTGGCTGAAGGAGCCGCCAGGCGGCTGGGCCGGGCCACCCCTCTAGACCCCTGTCCCGGAATCTCCCTTGGCACCCAAGGACAGATGCTCTGTTCCCTCCAACTCATCCACAAGAAGTTCAGGAATGACCTTTACTGTCAGCCCCTCCGAAAAAAACAATGATCCCATCATTCCATTCTCCCATCCACCTTGGCTGCCCTGCGTCTACAAGAGTCCTCCCTCCCCTTGTCAATCTCCTTCCTGCGTCGTGTAACCGCCTCCCCGCAACCTCATTCCTCTTCCTCCTCCTCCTCCTCTTCCCACCTCCGTATACGCCTGCTTCCCAGGCAAGGCCAGAGTGAGGTGGCCCCACCAGCCTCTCCCTGTACCTGTCCCTTCTCTGGTTTTCCTTTTGTCCCTTCTCTTGGTCTCTGTTTGACTGAGGCTGAGGGGTGGGTGTGTGAGCGTGTACAAGAGAGAGGGAGAGAGTGCCTTTCCCTTCCTGGTCTCTGTGCAGGGCCACTACGGATCCGTAAAGCACCTTTGTGTAAATTTGAAATGAGCAGCCTTTCCACAGAACACTTGGTCTGTTGGAAAACTGTTGGAATCCACCAATGTGAAAACAAGACACTTTTCTGCTATCAGCTGGGAAGGTGTCATTTAAATACACAAAGCCATGATTTCAAAGTTGGGGAGCCCTTTGTGCCGTGCACAACCTGCTGTGCACAGTGGCCCAGTCTGTGTGTCCCTGTCTGCTGCCTCCATCCCCACTCTGCCTCCACCCCATCTCTCATGTTCTGCTCTGAGTTTGCCATCCCCTTCCCCGTCTCCAACTGTTTCATGCCTACCTGTGTCTGAATCCTCCAGTGAACGTCAGTGTCCCTCTCCATGCCACCTCAGCCTGGGCTGGTGCACACCAGCCCTGCATCCTCTCCCACCCTACCAAGCATGGGGGACAGAGCCCCTGCCTGGGAAACTGGGAATCTTTTCTTCCCTGGGCCACGGGAACACCCCCTTACCCCTTCCCCCTGCCATCGCACAAAGAGCCAAGATCCGGACATGCCCCCTGAGATACTTTCCACGAAGCTATGAATGAGTCTCGAGATTCCGTCTGCATGCGCCCCTGTCTGCCATTCTGTGTGTCATGGCCTCGCTGCATGTCCGCGAGGGGCCCGCCCCATCAGTGGTGGGAGGGCCGCCTGCCCGCCGCTTCTTGGAGGAATGATGTGGTCTGTGCCCATCCGGTCTGGTCTGGGTCGAGCCGGGGGTGGGGGTGGGGAGCTGGCGGCCCCCCCAGCGGCTGTGGCCATGGACCCCTCTGCCTGGCTGCTGCATGTCTGCTGCAATCTGGCTTGTGCTCTTCTTTGGGGTCAGAACATAACGGAGCTGTCCAGAAGAACTCTGGGGCAGGGCAAGGATCTGGGCCACCCGTGGAAATGCCAGCTCTAGGGGATAGCAGGGCGGGAGAGGACCGGGCAGGGGCTCCGCAGCATAGGAGAGTCCCCAGGCCCTCCCTGTGGGCCACCATGGGAAATCGGGAAATAGAAGAGTGGGACAGGTAACCTGAGGGTGGGGGGGCACCCTAGCCGCTGCCTTCAGAGTTCTTCCTGGGGCTCCCTGGGCAGGGTGGGTCTGGTTCACGGGACCAGGGAGGGGTGCCTGGGAATGACGGTCCTTGCCTTTGGTTTTCTGTAGAGGCTCCTGCGGATGGATCTGCCTGTCGCGGATGACAATACCGTCCACTTCAATTCTACCCTCATGGCTCTGATCCGCACAGCCCTGGACATCAAGATCGCCAAGGGTAAGGGCAGCGAAGAGGTAGGATGGGGTGGAGGGTGGCGGTGGAGCCAGAGCCGCGGAGGGCTCATCCCCTCGCTCAGCAAATACCTAGAGCTCGCCCTCTGTGTGCAGACACTGCTCTAAGCCTGGGGAATGCAGCTTACACTCCAGCGGGGCAGGCCTCCCCGAGGAGATTGTGAAGGAGTCGCACGGAGACCTGGGGAGAAAATGCTCCCGGCAGAGGGGCCAGCCGGTGCAGAGGCCCCAGGGCTGGGTTGAACTGGCTTGCCTTCTGAGCCGGGGGCGCCACGGGACCAGAGGCGGGACCAGAGGCGGGACCGGAGGCGGGACCTGGCCCCTCTCACATTTGAACAGGCTCCCTCTAGCGGCCGTGGGGGGAATGGTCTAGGAGGAGCCCCGGAGGGAGGCGGCTGACGGGACGCAGGTGACACGCAGGATGGCGGCTTAGACCGAGGGGGTGTGAAGGGTTCAGATTCTCGATATTTCCTGGCAGTCTAGACAACCAGATGGCCGATGCATAGGATACGAGGTATGAGGGAAGGAGAGGAGTCAAGGCCACCCCGAGGGGTCAGGGCCCCTGCGCCTGAAGGATGGAGCTGCCAGCTGCCGTTGCCTGGGGCAGGGAGGAGACGGGAGGGGCAGGTCTAGGGGGAAGGGAGGGCAGGAGGTTGGCATCGGTGGTGGCATGTGGAGATGGGGGGGGGTGGGCAGCGGGCTCTCCAACTTACACTTCCAGTGAGGGGGCCTTCCCAGAAGATTCTGAAGAAAGTGAGGTGATGAGTCTGGCTGGGCTGAGATGTAGAATCAAGAGGCATCAGATGCGACAGATTTTAAGCCAAGAGACTGGACGAGCTCTCTAAGGGGATGAGTGGGAACCAAGAGACCCCCAAAGACTGAGCCCGGGGCCACCCCAGCATTAAAGGTGACCAAGAAGGAGCAGCTAGGGAGGAGGGTGGAGACCAGAGCAATGCATGCTCCTGAAGGGCATCCCCAGTGTGTCAGGCGCTGCTCAGCAGCCAAGGAAGACAAGGACCAAGAGTAGCCAGTAGATTTGGGGCCAGGTCACCACTGGTCCCTTTGACGAGAGCAGCTCTTGTGGACAGGTCATGGCCCTCCTGCCCAGAGTGGGTTTCAGAGGCCTGACAGCAGGCTGGAGGCGACTTGGCAGCTGATGGGCCAGCAGGGCAGAGAGAGTGGCACATGGATCACCAAAGAGCAAGAGATTGCAAGAGAGCTGGCAGAGGGCTGCGTCCATCATCCAGCAGAGGACTGGAAATCTGGGACAGTTTGGCTTGTCACAACTGGGAGGGGGCTGGTCCTAGTGGCATCTGGCATGTGGAGGCCAAAGATGCCACTGAATGTCCTGGACTGCACAGGACAGATCTGGTGACAGAGCAGGTTCACCCAAGGTGTGCGGAGCAAAGGTGGGGGAGGGGAGGACCCTTCAGGTGAGAAACTCTGGGACATAACTGGTCTATGGAGGACTATTGCCTGCATACAGGGGGACCTTCTGTCCCTGGGAGCCGTGGTGTTAACCATCCTGTGCCTGGAGGAGGAATAAACCTGGGATTCAGCACTGAGCCGACCCCAGGACCCCAGGAGAGGGCCATTTTGAAATACCCTAAGGATTTTCCCTTTGTTTAAGTGTGAAATGACCACCCTGAATATGAGACTTCCCAAGGAACTAAAACAGAAAGAGTCTAAGGTGATGGTTCTCAACCAGAGGAAGTTTTGGCAAAGTCTGGGGACAGGTTTGGTTGTCAGCAGTGGGGTAAGGCGGGGTGCTGCTGGTAACCAGTGGGTGGAGGCCAGGGCTGCCGCTCAGCAGCCTGTATGCACAGGACAGCCCCACAGTCAAGGGCGATCTGGCCTCACATGTCGACAGTGCTGATAAGGTGAGAAGCCTTGACCATACTCCCTTACCTAATTCAGATGCCAAGAATGAGTATCTTAGCTGGGCTGCCGTCACAAAATCCCAGCGACTGAGTGCAGAAACCACAGAAATTTCTTTCCTCACAGTCCTAGAGACTGGACGTCCAGGATCAAGGTGCCAGCAGGTTTGGTTTCTGCTGAAGCCTCTCTCCTCAGCTTGCAGATGGCTGCCTTCTGGCTTTGTCTGCACATGGCATTCGTTCCTCTGTGCACGTGCACCCCTGCTGTCTGTCTCTCTCTCTCTTCTTATAAGGACACCAGTCCTATTGAATTAGGAGCCACCCTTATGACCTCATGGAACTGTAATTAGTTCCTTAAAGGCCCATCTCCAAATGCCATTACATTGAAGGTTAGGGCTTCAACATGAATTTTAGGCAAACACAATTCAGTCCATAGTGGCAGGCGCCTTCCTTTTCTCCACTAGAAACAGGAAATGTGTACTCTGTAAGAAAAAAAGGGACTTGTAACAGGAATATCATGTTCTCTTCTTTCTCTTCCTGTGTCTCTGAGAAGGAGCCACAGAGACCCCAGGCACCTCACTTAGCTACAGTGGACGGGAGACATAGCTATTAATTCCAACTGCTTCCCTAGAGGAAAGAAAAACTGTTAGAGGTTGGTGTCAAGGGTGTTGGGAGCCCAGCCACACACAGGATTTTCCCAAGAGTCTCCGGCAACCCCTCAGTCTGAATCCAGGCCCACCAATCAGCCCCCATGCCTCTAGGCCCCAGTGACCACGGTCCCTTGCATGGTGAGACTCTGCAGCCACCAGCAGTGAAGAAAGACCAGACCATGGAGTGCGCCCCCTAGTGTGTGAGATGGTGAACAACAGCAGGACATGATAAGTACAGAGAAGAGAAATAAAGCAGGAAAAAGGCATGGGGGGCCGGGAGGGGGGCTGCTTTGGTTTGAGAGATAGTCAGAAGACCTCTTTGATAAAGGGTTTGGGCAGGAACCTGAAGAAGGTGAGGGAGGAAACCACACAGATATTGGTAGAAAGAACCATCCTGGCAGAGGAAACAGCCCATGCAAAGGCCCTAAGGCAGGACAGCGCTTGCTGTGTTTGAGGAGCCATGGGGAGGTTGGTGTGGCTGGAACAGAGGGAGCAAGGGGAAGAGCAGAAGAGACAAGGGCCAATCGTCCAGGGCCTTGTGGACTTGGGTGATCACCCCGAGTGAGATGAGGGCCCTCGGGGCGTCTGAGCAGAGGAGGCACGTGACCTGGTTGATCAGGGGTGCCCGCTTGTGGCCGTAGGAGACAAGGGAGACCTGGGCAGAGGCAACGGCATTGGTCCAGGCAGTTCAGCTCCCCACTGCCTCGATATCCTCACTCTGGGGCAGGATCTGAGCTTGACTTGTGAAAAGGCCCTTCTGAAGGATTTTTCTCCAAGTAAAGGCCTCTGTCTCCAGAGTCACGTAGGGAAAGATGAGCAAAAATTCCACGGAGTGCCTGGCACATGTCTGTGCTTTGACCAACATCTGCGGAGAAGGAGAAGTTGGTCAGGGGACCAGAGGCCGCCCCAGGCTGTGCCTGGGAAGCGGAGGAGTGGGAGGAGGAAGGGCAGGGAGAGCAGATGCTGAGCAGTGAGAGGTGGACAGAGAGTGGAGGCAAAGGGGGATGTTGAGTTGCCCGAGCGGGCCAGCTATTCAGCCAGCATGACCCCATAGATGGTTGTTAAAACACAGAAATACTTCTCTACTGGCTGGTAGCTGGCCCCTGCCCTTCCCCTGGATCTCCTGGACCTCCTCTCATAATCCAGCAACCACAGGACTAATATCTGGCCCAGCAGGGAGCCTTCAGGGCCTTGCTCCAGCTCTGTCATCAATGTTCCTTCCATACCTGCCAGTAATTGTTTGCAACAGCCCCCTAGCACCCAGGGTTGGGGGCTCTGAAACAGGAGTAGCAGCAGGGGCCAGTCTGGTGTATCAGTCAGGGTGGATGAGAACGTGCTGCTGTAACACACAGCCCCACAGTCTTGAACTGAGGAAAATTCACATCCCGCTTCCAATAAATGAGAACTTCCTGGATTGGCAGGGGCTCTGTTCATCAGTAACTTAGGGACCAGGCCTGAGGGTGCAACCACTGACCCCAGTGTTATCAGCTACTGTGACAGAAGGAATGAGAACTGGGGAGGGTCCTGCACTGGCCCTTAAATGCCTAAAGGGGCACCTCACTCTGCTCACACATCATTGGCCAGAACTCATCATGGGGCACCAGCCAACCAAAGGGGGAATCACTGCCAAAGAGCTTTCATGACCACCATGGCTGAGGTGAGGAACCAAGGGTCAACTACACCCAAAGTCAACATTCACGGGAGGGGAGACTTGGTTGAGGAAGAAACCTCCTGCATCAGGACTGCTCCCTGAGGCTCACCCCCAGCTCCCTATGGCAGAAACTGTCCAAACCTTCAAACAACTCAGTGAGGCTGGTGCTACTGCTACCATCCCCATTTTGAAGATGGGAAAACTGAGGCACCGTGTGGTAAACTAACACCCAAGTCATGCAGTTGGTGAGTGTGAACCAGGTTGGCCCTTCTGGATGCTGGACTGTCCCCCACACCACTCTTCCAAGGCCCTGGCCCTGCTGAGGACCAGACAGAGCCCACATGCTCAGTCCTCCTCCAGGCCAGGTCCACAGGGCACTGGAGACCCACTGAGAACCAGGACCCCAGAGTGTGTGTCAGTAGGAGCAGCTGGCTTCGCCACTGCCCCAGATGCTGGCTGACGCCCAGGCAGTCAGTCAGGGCCTCTCTGTGCCCACCCGTAGGCGGAGCCGACAAACAGCAGATGGATGCCGAGCTGAGGAAGGAGATGATGGCCATCTGGCCCAACCTGTCCCAGAAGACGCTGGACTTGCTGGTCACCCCTCACAAGTGTAAGAGCCAGGCCCCACCTGGCCCTGGGGCTCTGTCCCGCCAGGGCGGAAGGGAAGGGGAGGCACAGGGACGGCGGTGTTGGTGCATACAGGGCCCCTGCCCACCCTGAGCTCACCCTGTGCCCCTAGCCACGGACCTGACAGTGGGGAAGATCTACGCAGCCATGATGATCATGGAGTACTACCGGCAGAGCAAGGCCAAGAAGCTGCAGGCCATGCGCGAGGAGCAGGTACGGCCCAGCCCTGGCGGCCCTCCCCTCCCGGGGCCATGGCCCTGGGGACTCCCAGGCTGGGAAACAACTGGGAGGCCACGAGGACCAACCAGAACAGTGGGGTATGGCCAGAGTCCACCACAGGTCACCAGAGAGTCAGGCAGTGCCAAGGAGATAAATCCTGGATTAATTCACCTATGCCACCAACACTTATTGGGCACCAACTGTGTGCTGGGCACTGTTCTCAGCCCTGGAGGTGCATCTGTGAGCGAAACAGACCAGAATCCCTGCAGAGCAGACATTTCAGTTGGGGAAATGCCAACAATGACAGATGACTAAATTATATAGAGTTGCAGAAAATAGTTAAGTGTCAGGGGAAAAAGTGGGCGGGAGGGGTGGGCTGTGGCGGAGGGAATATGATTTGAAAGGGGTAGTCGAGGAGGCCTTGCTGAGGGAGTGACACCTGAGGAAAGACTTGAAGGGAAAATGAGAAGGAATGAGCCAAGCAGATACCTGCGGGAAGAGTTTCAGGCAGAGGGAACAGCCAATGCAAAGGCCCTGAGTCCGGACCATGAGTTTGAGTTTGAGGAACAGCAAGGAATCAGTATGGCAAGTGAGCAAGAGGGGCAGTGAAAGGAGTCAAAGGTGGGGAGGTGACCAAGTGGATTATGCAGGGCCTTGTGGGCCTTTGACTTTGCTCAGAGTGAGGTGGGAGCTCCCTCAGTAGAGGGAAGTGAGTACCACAAGTGCCCTCTGGTGGCCATCCATAGTAATGGCCAGATCTGGGAGACCTGGGAGGAGGCCACTGCCCTGGTCAGGCTGGAGATGATGAGGCGGGATGGGGATCCTGGAGGGGTGAGAAGTGATACAGTTATGGATGGATTTGGAAGGAAGAGCCAAGAGGACTGGCTGATGGCTCAGACCTGAGAGTGTGTGTGTGTTTTACAGCAGGGGTGTGGATGTCAAGAGTGACTTCTGAGGTTTCACCCCAGGGGTGGACTGTGCATACCCTCCATAGCCTCCCCGCTGCAGCTTTGACCAGAGCCTGAGTCTCGAGCGCACCCTCCTCCACCTGTCCCCTTCGCCCCCAACCCTGTGCACACACGCTGCTCTCTGCTTCCCCAGAACCGGACACCTCTCATGTTCCAGCGCATGGAGCCCCCATCTCCAACGCAGGAAGGGGGGCCCAGCCAGAACGCCCTCCCTTCCACCCAGCTGGACCCAGGAGGAGGCCTGTGAGTGTGCCTCTGGCCAGGAGGTGGGGAATGGGGGTGCCAGTCCCGGGTGTGGAAGCCCCCCGAGTGCCTATCACTGTGCTGCTCTGTGTGCCCTACACAGGATGGCTCACGAAGGCGGCCTGAAGGAGAGCCCCTCCTGGGTGACCCAGCGAGCCCAGGAGATGTTCCAGAAGACGGGCACATGGAGCCCAGAGCGGGGACCCCCGACTGACATGCCCAATAGCCAGCCCAATTCTCAGGTGCCTTTGTCCCGCCACCACCCCCATGGCTCCCAGGCCCGGGCAGTACAAGAGGGAGGAGTCTGGGCCCCCCACCCGCAGCTCCACACACACCAGGCCACCCCCGGGGTCCACGCGTCAAGCGCCGGGGCTCACCCGGCCTCGCCATCTGCCCTGCAGTCCGTGGAGATGCGAGAGATGGGCAGAGACGGCTACTCTGACAGCGAGCACTACCTCCCCATGGAAGGCCAGGCCCGAGCTGCCTCCATGCCCCGCCTCCCCGCGGAGAACCAGGTGAGGGCTTTTACCCACCACCCTGGGGGCCGGCTTGGGCCTCTGGAGTCCCGGCTTCCCCAGCAGCCCAGGGACCCCGGCTTGGGCGGGGCATCCTGCACCCTTGGCAGCAGCATCCAGGCTTCACTGCCCCTACAGGCCGCACCTGGAGGCCCTGGAGGCCCTGGTGGAGGGCTGAGAGGGGCCGAGGTTCCCCCAGGGTCGGATATTGTGGCCACTGCCAACTGGTTTGTCTCTGCTCTGTTTGGGGGTGCTGAGGCGGGAGGACGCAGAGGACACATGTGGGAGTCGTGGATGGGGATGGGAGGTGACGTGTCAGGCCCAGGTGAGAGCTGCAATCAAGAAAACATGTATACACACGCACACAGGCACGCTCTGGGGAACGTGGCAGGTCCTAGGACCTGCTAGCAGCATCTGGGGTGGGCCTGGGGGTTCGTCTCTCTGTCTGGTCTCTGTGGGGGCCGCTGGGGAGGAGCAGGTGTGTGCCTGACTTGTGTCTGTGTGGCTGCTTTATCCAGCTGCAGGGCTGGGTCAGGGGTGGGAAAGGTCCCACTGCCCCAAGCCCACGGGGACAGAGGGGCCAGAAGCCAGAAGCATGGCTGGCTGCCCACCCGCCTGAGAGGGGGGGCAGCATGTCTGACTATGGCAGGCTGCCTGTGTGCTGTGCCGTGACGTCTGCACGGGGGAGGGCTGTGCTGTGCTGGCCCGGCCAGAGTCACCCAGGGGCCTGGCCTCTGGCTGCTGGGAACTTGGGTGGGAGGCAACCAGCCTGCATGTGGCTGCCCAGCCCCGTCCTGACGGGCCCCATCCCCCCCATACATCAGGACTGAGCTGCTGGGCCCCAGGAGAGGGGTGGGACCAGCCAGCTGATGGCCACTCCCTGCCGCCAAGCTTCAAGTGTCAGCAGAGCCAGGGCTGGGGCGCATTGCATGAAGCAGAGCCCAGGGCCAGGGGCCTGCGGCCACGCTGTCCCATCTGTCAGTCTTGTGCCTCTGCCATCTGTCTGTGGTGTCTCTTGTCTGTCTCCTCTGTGCCCATGGGAGGATGGCCGGCTGGGTCTGGGGTCACCCACGCACTGGGGACTTTAATGTCTCTCCCCACCCTCCGGTTCCCCTCCCCCGCCCTGGCATCTCCTCCATGGTCCACCTCTCCACTCTCCCTCTTGGCTTTTATATTTATTTCCTTCTTTCTGTTTTTTCTGTGTGCACCATCCCGTGGGGCTGTGACAGAGGAGAAGGGGCCGGCCACGTGGGAATAACCTCAGTGTATGTACCTCGCCCGCCCGCCACCCAGCTGGGCTCCGGCCCCCTCTTCCCGC